TAATCCTACAAGCTGTCATCACTACCCTCCTGACTGTTCTCCTCACTGTCTTCCTCTCTGTCAGACATGGTAGCTGATGATGTAGGCCTACTTCTTTCTCTCTGGTTGAGTCTGCGATTAGCTGCTTGCATCCACAAGTCAACAGCTGGGTTTGGGTTGAAAGTCCAGTTTTAAAGGATATTTGTGGTTACTAACCTATAGTATACATTGGAATGATTTCAAACCTGTTTATCCCAATAATTATAAAGGAGTGCCTTGGAAATATGTGTTTACATAAATTGTGACCAAACCGTTTGAACTTAGACTAAAGTGAACTATCTAAAAACATAGTCCTTTACCTCACTGAGCTGTAGTTATCAGCCTCAGTCTGACTGGAGAGGACTCTCCCTCCACATCATTGTAGAAACAGCTTCTTCTTATATCCGTTAGAGCAGCTAGCACCAGATTCTAATAACAACAGCGCCGGTACCGGTGCCCCCTCGCTCGCTCCCACGCTCACTCGCATTTTGGCTGTGAGCTGCGGGCGCCAGATAAGCCAACATCCCCCATTTTCATCACTTACAGCGCCCATCGTACAGGGCAAATGAAACGTGTAACCGGGGTGAAAAGGGTGTTACATTTAGTTAATTATGAATGTTTTTACATCAAGGCCAAAAATTAGGATGAGCCCCAACGGTCAAAAATGTTTTTTTCCCTCCCAGAACTACCAGCGCAGCGCCTCCACAGATCTGGTGCCCTAGGCGAAAATCAACGCCAGTGCGACGGGCCGGCCCTGAGTTCATATGCAACTCGCAAATATCTTTCTCTCTCTCTCTCTTCTCTCTTTTCTCTTCTCCCTTCTCTCTCTCCCTCTCTCTCTCTCTCAATGTTGGTACGCAAATGCGCCTTTTTTCAAATGACCCGGTGCTCTTTTTTTGGCCGAGGTGCGCACCTGCGCACCAGTTATGTGCAGCAAATACTAGAACAATATGCATCCAAAACATTAACAACATTTAAAAAAGAACCAGTCGTTTTTTGGTTTTTCGGGAAAACCAAAAAACCGACGTTATTCAGTTTTTAAAACCAAAACGGGAAAACAGATAAATCAAACGTTTGGTTTTGTTTGTATGATTTACGGATAATCCAGTGAATGCTGGGAAAAACGAGGTGTGTGTGTGTGTGTGTGTGTGTGTGTGTGTGTGTGTGTGTGTGTGTGTGTGTGTGTGTGTGTGTGTGTGTGTGGTGTGTGTGTGTGTGTGTGTGTGTGTGTGTGTGTGTGTGTGTGTGTGTGTGTGTGTGTGTGTGTGTGTGTGTGTGTGTGTGTGTGTGTGTGTGTGTGTGTGTGTGTGTGTGTGTGTGTGTGTGTGTGTGTGTGTGTGTGTGTGTGTGGTGTGTGGGTGTGGTGTGCTGTGTGTGTGTGTGTGTGTGGGTGTGTGGTGTGTGTGTGTGTGTGTGTGTGTGTGTGTGTGTGGTGGTGTGTGTGTGTGGTGTGTGTGTGGGTGTGTGGTGTGTGTGTGTGTGTTGTGTGTGTTGGCTGTGTGTGGTGTGGTGTGTGTGTCGTGTGGGGGTGTGTGTGCTGTGTGTGTGTGTGGGGTGTGTGTGTGTGTGTGTGTGTGTGTGTGTGTGTGTGTGTGTGTGTGTGTGTGTGTGTGTGTGTGTGTGGTGGTGTGGTGGGATGTGTGTGTGTGTGTGTGTGTTTGGTGTGTGTGGTGTGTGTGTGTGTGGTGTGTGTGTGTGTGTGGTGTCGTTCGTTCCGGTGCACGTCCGACAGCATTTAGCACTACATCGCGATTAAGATTAAACTAATTTATTTTGGGAACACCCGCATATAGGCTACCTATGTGTGTACATTACTGTTCATGGTTCTGTTCACAGAGCTGAGCACATACACATCATGTGCCTTGGTGACTGGACATCTCCTTCATAAAACTAATAAAAGGGGGAGTAATCGGGCAGTTCGATGTGTGTGTGGTTAACACGTAGCAGCCTGCAGTCACTCTTAAACTGTTCTGAAGAAGGTAAACACAGTGAAGGCGGTGCGTAAGGCACAGCTCTCGGCGCGCTGGTGCTGCACTTCTCAGAGGCGGAGTCTACGTCCCGCTGCCTCCCGATGCTGCAGGCATTTCATGAAGTGAAGGAGGTTTTCCTTCTATAAAACAGCTGCGGGCAGCAAATACCGTGAGAGTCCCGGACATTAATTCATAGATCAAGGCAGACCGGTCATCCGGTGCTTAAACAAATAGCTCTACACCCCTGGCCGACATGTCCTTAAAATGAAGTCCGAGTTTGAAATGTATCTCACATAATGTATGCACTGCCATTTCCCCACATAAACATAACAGTCTGCAATTAAACGGTTGTCTCCTGTGCGCTCCTCTTCCTACTTGGCGCACCGGTAACTTTCTCGTGCGCACGAGAGGCTGAGACCCTGAGCCGCCGAATCCCTCGGAACATCACAAAAGCCATTTTCAACGGTTTTCTGGTGAAAGATTAACTAGCTACTGGATGAAATAATATGACTGGTATAGGTGCAAAAATTATGATAAAATATTTTTATATATTTATAATTCTGCAAATATTACGATAAACTCACAGCTATTTTGCGGCCCGGCAGTAACACCTCCGCGGCCCGGTACCGGACCGGGGGTTGGGAACCCCTGAGGTAAAGGACTCCGAGTGTTTAGATAGTTCACTTTAGTCTAAGTTATCTCAGTGGGTCTCAAACGTTTTGATCACAATTGATGTAAACACATATTTCCAAGGCACTCCTTTATAATTATTGGGATAAACAGGTTTTAAATCATTCCAATGTATACTATAGGACAGTAACCAAAAATATCCTTTAAAACTGGAAAGATAAAAAAAAAAATGCATAAATAAATGTTAAGGTAAAATAAGATATAAATGAACAACAAAAATAAAATAAGTTACATTCATTTGTTATTGGCTATGGTATGTTATTGGTTATGTTCACATACTTATTTGATTACATCCACTTTTCTAAGATGACAACAGAGACTTTCGACCCAAACCCAGCTGTTGACTTGTGGATGCAAGCATCTAATCGCAGACTCAACCAGAGAGAAAGAAGTAGGCCTACATCATCAGCTACCATGTCTGACAGAGGAAGACAGTGAGGAGAACAGTCAGGAGGGTAGTGATGACAGCTTGTAGGATTACTGGTTGTGCTAATGTTGTCTTGTGTTCACCTCTGCATGTGTGTTCTGTGTTCACCTCTGCATGTGTGTTCTGTGTTCACCTCTGCATGTGTGTTCAGTGCCGTGTGTCTGGCAAATAAAGTCAAGACCCGCTCAAAAGTTACGGTTTATTTCATTTTAAGGATGAGCACCAAGCAACATCTCCAGGTGCTCCTTTGAGAACCAGGGCAAAAAAGTTATGTGCACCCCTGGTTATAACCTCCATCTCCACAGGATTGACACTGAACAGTTCAGCCATCTTCTTCTTTTTCTTCATCTTGACATGAAATTATAAACCATAATAAATGAATTGTATAGGTCTAGCCTCCCTATATCTGTGTGAAATTGTTCCATCCTCAAAAACAAAAAACTAATACTTCTGCAGTCTAGCTGCAGCTTCTAGCAACGGTCTTCTGTTAAAAAAAAGGACACTGAATGTCCTGAATGTGGCATCACACACAAGACTTGAGTCTGAACAAAGCAGACAACAGGAGTATCTACAACAGCATATAAAAACAAAAATAGTGCATGTGGGTGCACACTTACATTCTCTGTCTTACTGTTGCATAAATCCCAGGAATGTATGAGATTTAGTTAGCTTTATCATCTCAATCAGTGAATAATAAAGTTTCTATCGGGTCACTATCAGCCTCACTCATTATTTTCAGGAGGGGGCGGGTTTGGAGGGGAGGAGAGGAGACGGTGATCGCGGAAGCTTTTTTCCACCTGCCTTCACAAACTTTACACAAGTATTTATCAATTGAAAATAGAAAGAGGACATTCATACTCTGCAATCCAAGACTTGATTAAATCCTCCCAAAACCTGACATGGTGCTAACGCGAGCATTTTTAAAAACATAAATCCATGTGTCTGAGCCACAGCGACACGGACTGATTCAGGTGCATTTATTGTAGTCGGATTTTTTCTACGCAGTCTGTGAACGGCGAGCTACTGAAAAGCTGCCCGCGAGCTACCGGTAGCTCGCGATCGACGTGTTGGAGACTCCTGCCCCAAGCGCTTCTCAAAATAAATGCTCACGTTGGTCTGTATCTACTTCATGTGTCAATAGGCAGCTGTTTACTGCCTCCAAGTGGTACACTAGGTGATTGCAATTTTAATATGATTTGTGTGAATCTCTGTATATTGGCTGTATTGTATGACCGACGTGGGCTGTGCTTTTCATTTTTCCTGAACGTTTGCTTTGCTGTTTTTTTTCCAGCTGTTGCAGAATCTTAAGTACGCAGATGAGATGACTGTCCTTTGTGTCCATAACGGCCCTCAAATGCTTCCTCCCAACCTATGGGACGAGAAGGCTTTCCTCAGGCGCAGTCTCAGACGACAAGTTAAGCCATAGGATGCCACCTACATGATTTCCTGTTCAATGAGTTCCAAATATACAGCTGAAAAAATAAATAGGTTAATCATTTAGTATATTAAGGTTTAATTGTTTTGTGGAAGGTTTTATTATTGTTGTAATAGGAGTCAAGGACTCAATTCCATTTCTCTATATATATATATATATATATATATATATATATATATATATATATATATATATATATATATATATATATACCTCCGTTTAATCCATTCCTCAAGAGTTGACATGGGACTTTTGTATATTTGTATAACATATTCAGCTGTTTCAGTCTTTTTGTTTATGTTGAAATAAATTAAGAATATTCTTTAAATGTTGAATGTAAAATAAAAGATGCACGTTTTTCCCATATTATCAGTGTGAAGACTTAATTTGTTCACATAGTTAACTTACAACGAATCACATTTAAGTATTCAGTTTTCAATGTTGGGTATTGCGACAGAGACACAGAACAAGTTCACTTTATTTACGTTTTTTCATGTTGGAAGCAGATAAGAGATAATAGTGCAGGACGCTTAAAGGTAAATAGAAGCTGCCATCACTCCCTGGTGCAGCCCTTGTTTGAATAAGCCTGTGGAGGAAAAGACAGGGCACTGTTGGTATTTGGAACACACCTCGCTTTACACAAAGCCAGATTCCTCCCAGAATCGGTGGGTTTGGTTGGATTAAGATTCTCTTTGTATGGCAATATAAGTGAAGTTCAGCTGACCTTCACTTAATGCTGTAAATGGAGCGCCTTTGTGGATCGACCCACACTCTGATTTCTTCCCCTTGTTCCTTCTCCAGCATGTCCTTCTTTGAGTTTTCCTGCTTCCTGTAAATTGACATTTAAAATAAATGGTAACACTGAATTTAGAAAGTCCACCTTTTCAACAGTTGAAATGCCACTGCCAACAGAGGGAAGTTATACTGCCACAAACTTAAATTCACAAACACCCACCTCTGGTCCTCAGAAACGGTCTCTTTCTGGTATAGCATCCGGTTCTTTCCCCAGAAGAAGTCCTTGTGGTGATCGTAAACTGACCTTAGATGGAAGTCAAGACTGTCCTTTGGAGCCTGAGGTAAAAAAAAATGAAAATTGAGTTGTGCATTCAAATAATTTTTTGAATAATTTTGTTGTTTCATAATTGTGGGTCATAATCATGCATAATCCTGGAGGTTACCTTAGGCTCATAATGCATAACGCTCTGTCGGTAGCTGGCACAAGTGGCACTATCATAGAGGCGACTCCAGGGCTCCTCTGTTTGGGCGATGTGAGTCGGTCTATCATATGCTTTTCTCTGTGCAGTGGGAAAGAACAAAAAATGTTTATCTATTTTTGATGATTATTCTCTAGGTTCATATTCAGGTCATGAACAGTGTATTAACTATTTGGGATGGATTATACTAGGCAACACTTACTCTGTAGCCTATAGAAAAATTGTTTTTTTTATATTTAAATTGCTGTTTGAATGCTATCATCTGATTTACCAAGGTTTGATTATCAACTGGACCAGGTCCCATGTAATATTACAGCAGTGTTAATATGAGGTCATTCGTATGTTTTGCTATGCAATATAACAAGGGTGTGTGTGACTAGTTTTCTGAAGAATACACAAAAAGCTCACCAGACAAAATATGAGTTTCAGGTTCTAGGATAACCTACCTGATGTGAGCTGGAGCCGCTGGTGGTGAAGCCGTGTGTGGGGGAGAAAGGATTCCGGCCTGACATATTTAACAAGGAGAAACTCTCAAGACGAAAACACAATACTTCCCCCAAATCTGTTTGTCTCTGTTCGTCTGAGCTAATCCTACAGGAATGTTTACAACCAGGTTTCTTAGCAACCATAAACTTCCGGTTGAAATTTTCAAAATAAAACGAGTGTTGACACATATTGCTTCCCACGTGTGGTCATGAGTCGATATTAAACCAGAAATGTTTACCCAATGGCTATTTTTTATATATATATATTTCTATTGACAATAGATATTTTTGTAAACAATGTCAGGTTAATGAAAGCAGCACACACAGCCCATAAGTGATGCAAATACATGTAAAGCATTAGGCTACATGATGACAATACTGAAGGAAGAATAGATATTGAAAAAAAAACTTTAAATGTTGTAGTTATTTGTAAACCGAGTGTTTTTAGTAGAGAATTGTGTTCTTGTAGAAAGGGTGAACTATTTTCCCACATGTAGGCTATAATTATGTATTTTTGTAAAAATGTCCACTTGCTACCTTGAAATACATTTTTTTTTAAAAATCTAACCGTGCTAAATCGTTTTGTTTAAAAAGTTTAATAGCTTACAGAAAACGACTTCAACAGTACAGAGGACTACAGAACACCCAGGTAATGCTAGCAGATTCTGATAGCTAGCAGAAGGCAGGTAAAGTATCAGTCATCCCACAGTGTCTCAACAGCCCGCAGAGCCAATCAGCTGCCAGTATTTGTTCCCTGCTCAGAGGGAAGCCCCGCCCCCAGCCGCCGGGCGGCAGCACCTGAGGGCGGAGGTCAACCCTGTGCTGCTCCATCACTTCAGCACCGACACAGGCGACGATGCATCGAGGCCAGATCCACCTGCGCTACCTTTTAATATGGCTGCCTTTTGCTTATTGCACTACTACGGATTTGCCCATGTGCAAAGAGGTGAGGAGATTAACATTGTTTTATTGTTAGCCATTTATACAAAATGATTACTAATGTGTAAATGCTATTCATATTCATGTCCAAAGCTAATATTATTAATTAATCTTAATTGTACATATCACAATTTGATTGGACAATTTGAGGTTCCATATGGTATACTTCTAGTTGCAAATGTTAATAAAAAACAGATGCAGGTATGACTGTTTGTCTTTCGAGAGCTCTGCGTACGCCAGCCATTCCATGGAACGACATTAGACTTAGACATACTTTATTGTCATTTCAACAAGACACAGAGTGTACTATTAAAACGAAATTTCGTTGTACTGGCTTACAGGAACAGGACAATATAAAAACTTGCTAAAATTGTACATATAAATAAATAATAGTGACGTGGTGCTGATACAATTAAAGATAAAGTGTGTGTTTAAAATATAAAGACTTACTATACATGTAACAATTGTGAAAACGTAAAAAAAACGGTTAACCAAGCATGTCTGATAATGAGAATTTTTTTTCTAAAGGGCCAATTGACATTTGCATATCAACAGTGCAGTTTGATAATACTCAAAACATTACTTTTTTATCAGCATAATTCAAACATTAACACTAAGTGTGTTGAGTTAAGATATCAGAAAAGGGCAAAGTTATCACAAAAGGCAGGTGTAGTCTCGTCATTTGAGTGTATTGGGTTTCCAGGTGATGATTTGGAGGTGGAGGTCAGTTAGTTTCCATGCTAGTCCATTGACCATGAGGCACAGCTGCCATTATGTCCCGTTGCCTTGGTTTCCTCATGTTTGTTTAAAGGAGGTGATTAGGCTGCAGCACATCCCAGGTTGGATGCATTTTTACATCAGTTTCCCCCCAAACACATGTTCATCTGATACCTTAACCAACGCTAATGTAGCAGCTCTAATTTAAAACACAGAGGAGCTGCTGCTCCCTCTGTTTCTGTTAACTATTAATCCCACAAGGCTGTGTGTGAGATTAGCCTGACTTTCCTTGAACGAAATGCAGCCTGCTGTTGGCCAAAATGAACCAACTGTTTGGGAGGGTGTCAGATCAACAAGATAACCTTTAACACTATGCCATATCCCATTTATCATTGTTCATCATCTCGGGTGGGACAGTGTTTGTCAGTCAGAATCTCCAAAAGACGTCAAGACAAATAGAGCTATAGCTTCACACCTGAGCTCCTGCTGTCTCAAAAGTCCTGTGGCAACATTGAAAATGACATGTTTACAGAAGGATTGGGCCAATCAGCCTCTATCCCCCTTGGTTATAAGTAAATAAACCTTGAAGGTCATTTTACTGGTTTAAGGTTGCAGTACATCCTCGAGGACTGTGGGTAAAACAACTGTTGAGACAACCTCCTGGGCAAATATTAGCTGTGGCTTTTATTTGGAAAGAGGCTTGACTGGTTTTGAAAAATAATGCAAGAGGTTTAAATTATTTGATGACTACAACAGTATAAATCATCTATAATTATTTACATTTTTAAGTAATTGTTATTGTTGTAATTTCTCATGCAAAATTAGCAGAACATTTAGTCCTCCATATCATAATAAACTGAATATCTTTGGGTTGTGGACTGAAAAAAACAAGAGATGTCAAAGCATCAATTTGGACTTTAAGAAACTGTGATTGCCTTTAAAAAAAAAAGAAATATTACAGATGAAATGTATGAAACTAACATGTGTTCTGTCCCTGCAGTCAGATTATCACTTTGAGTACACAGAGTGTGATGTGCTCCAGGCTCGATGGAGAGTGGCGGTTCCCAACAAAGCCGACATTTGCACAGGCCTCCCCGATCCAGTTAAAGGCACTCAGTGCAGTGAGTGTCCCACTCTTATACCTTTTTTAATGCACACCCTTAATCTGTATCACAATAATAATGTATGAATATTAAATTGTTGCCACATATATCTTGTATCTGTTTCTTGACATGCTGTTGACATCTTTATGAAACACTTAGAGCGTGCTCTCTGCCCCTCCTCTGACAGCCTTCTCCTGTAGTGAGGGGGAGTTCCTTGACATGCAGTCACAGCAGTGTAAGAAGTGCGCTCCAGGCACCTTTTCTCTGGGCACCGGCGTGGCCTTTGATGAGTGGGACAGCCTGCCGTCTGGATTTGTAACCCACGGGGTGACCACAAACAGCGGGGATGACAAAACAGACTGTTCCAAGTTAGTAAATGTCTCGATTGTATTCTAATTTTCAGATGTGGAAGAAGTATTCAGATATCGCACTATTAGTAAGGAGTAATACCAGACTGTAAAAAATACTCTGTTACAAGTTACGACTTTCATGCTTTTAAAATGTTGCTTAAGTAAGCATAATAGAAAAATAAATAGGCTTAGGCTGTTTAACTGTAGGCTGTTTTTGATGCATTATTAAGTTGATTGCTTTAATGTGGCAGTAGCGCTTTAATACTGCTGTTAAACTTGTGATTTCCTCCTGTGCGTAATTTGACTCTTAACTTAAAATACCATTTATCAACATAATTTATTTGTTGAATATATTTTGTATTTTTATTCTGAAAAGTACCATGTATCTACATTTATCAAATAGATGTAGTGGACTAAAAGTAGCAGGAAATGAAAAAACCTTCAGTCTAAAGTCAACTTCAAGTGCCTCAAATTGTTTTTGTATATAGTACTTAAGTAATATAATAATAATAATAATAATATTAGATTTATTTTGTTAGTGCTTTTACAGGTGCTCAAAGACGCTTTACGGATATAGTGAAAAGAAAAGAACAACAAATAAATATATATTTAAAGTCAAATAATACAAAAACAATCGCACATTAAAAGCCAGATTGAAGAGGTGAGTTTTTTGAAGGTGCAGGTCAGGGCAGTCTCTGATGGGTTGTGGGAGTGGGTTCCAGAGGGAGGGGGCAGCGACGGAGAAGGCTCTGTCCCCCCAGGTCCGGTGCTTGATGCCGGTGGGGATGGATAGGAGGTTGGCTTCTGATGAGCGGAGGCAGCGGGAAGGGGTGTGGTGGTACTTAGTAATATTCCATCACTGGTTATTTGAAAAGCATGTTTTTTGATCCATCATAGCTCTTACTGTTTGTTGAGCTCCTTGACACTAACAGACTGTCTCTGCAGCTCGACCTGGATAACGAAGGGTGATTATGTCGCCTCGAACACAGATGAGTGCACTGCAACACTGTCCTATGCTGTGAGCCTGAAGAAACCTGGAACTGTGACCTTTGAATATTTCTACCCTGACAACAGCATTTACTTTGAGTTCTTTGTAAGTATTTTAAGATGAGTGGTGATGTTTACAAAGATGGGAATTATTGGGGTAGATGTTTGTGTCATTGTTTTCTCCCCCTCCTGTAGATCCAGAATGACCAGTGTCAGTCTACGGACTCTGAGAGTCGCTGGATGAAGATCTCTGACAGCGACTTTAGCAAATACACGGTTTGTCTGAGTGTAGATCTTAATTAAACTGAATCACTTAGATTCAAATGGTTGTTTTTTTGTGTTCCAATCTTACTTTCACATCACTCTATGCAGGTTGAGCTTAACAGCGGCAACAACGTGCTGTATTGGAGAAGCACTGCGTATGCTCTGCAGGGCAGTGCTGTCAAACCTGTGCAGTTAAGAAACATCGCCATCTCAGGTAGATAATCGCCTGTAGAGGGTCTCGTGATACAGCTTTAAACATTTGTTCACTCCTGAACCTTCTTCCTGTTAATGATTCAAAGTCCATTGATGGCTTTCTTGCAGGGGTGGCCTACACATCAGAGTGTTTCCATTGTAAACCCGGCACCCACAGTGCCAAAGCAGGATCTGCCCGCTGCGCCACCTGCCCTGCTGGAAGCTTCTCCAACAAGGGTGCCACCGTTTGCCACCAGTGTGAACAAGACAAATATGCAGGTATGACTGTTTGTCTTTCGAGAGCTCTGCGTACGCCAGCCATTCCATGGAACGACATTAGACTTAGACATACTTTATTGTCATTTCAACAAGACACAGAGTGTACTATTAAAACGAAATTTCGTTGTACTGGCTTACAGGAACAGGACAATATAAAAACTTGCTAAAATTGTACATATAAATAAATAATAGTGACGTGGTGCTGATAAAATTAAAGATAAAGTGTGTGTTTAAAATATAAATACTTACTATACATATAAATAAAATAGACATACTATATAGAAAACATGTGCGCTTTACACAGCGTAATGTAATCTTTATGTTACTGGTCTACTTGCTGTTCAGCAGTCTGATGGCATGGGGGAAAAAGCTATTACAGAATCTGACTGTTCTGCTCTTAATGCTGCGGAACCTCTTGCCGGAGGGCAGCAGGGAGAACAGAGCATGGTGAGGATGAGTGGGGTCTTTCAAAATGTTCTGGGCTTTTGTCAGGCAGCGTTTCTGAGCGGTGTCTCTGATGGGAGGGAGAGAAACTCCGATGATCTTCTCTGCTGTCCTGACCACACTCTGCAGAGACTTCCAGTCTTTGGCGTTGCAGTCTCTCGACCAGATGGAGATGCCGCTGGTCAGCACGCTCTCTATGGTTCCTCTGTAGAACGTGGTGAGGATGGGAGGGGGGAGCTGTGCTCTTCTCAACCTGCGCAGGAAGTGTAGGCGCTGCTGTGCCTTCTTAAATAGTGATGTAGTGTGAGTGGACCAGTTCAGACAGCTTGTGATATGCACCCCCAGGAACTTGGTGCTGTCTGTAGTCTTCACTGCTGTGCCGTTGATGTGGAGTGGTGGGTGACAGTGCTTTTTGTTCCTGAAGTCGACAATGATCTCTTTTGTTTTATCGACATTCAGGATCAGGTTGTTGGTGTTACACCAGTCTGTCAGATGTTTCACCTCCTCCCTGTAGGCCTGTTCGTTGTTGTCCCTGATGAGTCCCACCACTGTTGTATCGTCCGCGTACTTTATGATGTGGTTGGTACTGAACCTGGAGCAGCAGTCGTAGGTCAACAGGGTGAAAAGCAGTGGACTCAGAACGCAGCCCTGCGGGGAGCCGGTGTTTAAGGTGATGGTGCTGGAGGTGTTGTTACCGACCCGAACATACTGGGGTCTCTCTATTTGGAAATCCAGCAGCCAGTTACACAGGGGTCTGTTGAGTCCCAGGGGTCCCAGTTTGTTTACCAGATGCTGGGGGATGATTGTGTTGAACGCTGAGCTGAAATCCAGGAACAGCATTCGCACATGGGTGTTCTTCTCCTCCAGGTGGGCCAGGCTCACATGGAGCGCAGAGGAGATAGCGTCCTCTGTAGAGCAGTTAGGGCGGTAAGCAAACTGGAACGGGTCAAGTGTGGGGGGAAGTATGGAGACGATATGGTTCTTTACCAGCCTCTCAAAACACTTCATCATGATGGGGGTGAGTGCCACAGGCCGGTAATCATTCAGGCAGGTCACTGAGGATTTATTTGGCACAGGTACAATGGCTGCTGTCTTAAAACATGATGGAACAATGGCCTGGTCCAGCGAGGTGTTGAAGATGTCTGTGAGGACATGGGCCAGCTGGTCCGCACAGTCCCTGAGCACCCGTCCTGGTATACTGTCGGGGCCTGCTGCCTTCCGGGGGTTGACTTTCCTCAGGGTCCTCCGAACTTCAGCTGTGTCAAGGTGAAGTCTTTGTTCCCCCTGCTTGGGGACAGCTTTCATTGCAGTGGTGTTATTAAGTGCCTCAAAGCGACCAAAGTGATTATTGAGGTTGTTGAGAAATATAGTATCATTGTCACAGGGTGGTGGAGCAGCCTTGTATCCAGTGATGGACTGAATGCCCTGCCACATGCGCCTGCTATCCATGGGGTCATGGAAGAAACTCTGGATTTGTTGGCTATGGGCGAGCTTTGCATCTCTGATGGCATGGTCCAGGTTGGCTCTTGCTGTTCTAAGAGCTGCCACGTCACCAGATCTGTAAGCCAAGTTTCGTGCTTTCAGTAGAGCACGAACCTCCATATTCATCCAGGGTTTCTCATTATTTCATTTATTATTTATTTATTATTATTATTATATATTATTTATCATTTATTATATTATTTCATTATTATTTATTATTTCTCTTTATTCGTAGAACTTAACACCATTCCCTATTGTCACACATATGCAAGGCAGTCTATATGCAAATACTGCATTTACTGCTAAAGTGTGTGAGGTTTTCCTTATCTCTGTATCTTGATGTGAGCTGTGTTTTCCCTCGTCCACGCCCGGCTTGGTGTCTTGTTTTTCCAGAGCCTGGTTCAGGGAGCTGCAAACCAAGACCTGCGTGTACAAACAGTGACTACTTCTACACCCACACTCCCTGTGACTCTGAAGGAAAGGTAATGTAGAAATATTACATCTCTTGCAGGTTTATTAGAGGTGAACACACACATGGAGATTTCGCCTTGAAAAAAACCCCAGCAGCCATCTGGTGTTACGATCAGGTTTCTTTACATATGAATTGTCTGTGCCACAGAGCATCTGCTGGCTCTTCTCATGTGTTATTGTTTGGCCTGCTGGGTGTTTCAGACTCAGCTCATGTACAAGTGGATCGAGCCAAAGATCTGCAATGAAACTTTTGATGGAGCGGTTGATCTGCCCGCATCAGGGGAGAAGCAAACCTGTCCTCCATGTAACCCGGGTTTCTTTGTCACCAACTCCTCTACCTGTGAACCCTGCAACAAGGGTTTCTACTCAAACGGCGCAGGTGCAGAATCAGTACACTCCTTATTCTCTATCCTACATGCATGTCAGACTCAAGATCATGTTCATTTGACTAATGTACTTCTAATTATCAGTATATGTGATTTTAATAGCAAACGGTATGCTAAATAGAGTCCCACAGTACCACAACTATCACTTCTAATAGCACCATGATTGAAAATATGTCTTGCAGAGTGATGTAAAAAAGAATATAAAACTGTCAACAAAGTTGTGGTGTTTCCTGTTTTAGTTTCTGTTTTGTACACTGACATAATCACACAGTATTTCCTCACAGCATGCACTGAATGCCCTGTTGGCACGGAGCCAGTGGAGGGTCTCGAGTACAAATGGTGGAACACGATGCCGAGCCACATGAAAAGCTCCATCTTCAATCGAGAGTTCAGCGGCTCTGAACAAAGCACGGGTGAGAAACTTAATGTTAAGATAGATAGATAGACATACTTTATTGTCATTTCAACAAGACACAGAGTGTCGAGGGAGAGGGCAAACATCACAGCACTTGAATGTTAATCATCAGTCAGAAAATATACTCTACGGAATAGAACATGAGAGAAACCATACGACTAAAACAGCCAGAGGTTAAAGGACAAGAAGCCCAATCTTTGTATCTCTCCTTGTCCTTATCCATGTAAGATAAGGACAACGAGAGATAAGGAGTCAAATAAACTTGGAAAGCTCGTACGGTTTCAATATCACGCTGATATTTCGAAGGTCAAAAAATGAACTGGCACATTAGGAGCCTGCATTATTTATATCAGAATCAGAATCAGAAAGAGGTTTATTACCAGGTAGGTTGACAAGTACGAGGAATTTAATTTGGTACTGATGTATGCTTTCATTCTCATTTACAGTTTAATCCACAACAAAAGAGACACCTATAGGACATAGACATACAGATATGCATTTGCAAATGGACTTACTAGAACCGTTTTCCTTTTTAATGTTATTTAGGTAATGTAACATTTCTTGTATTATGCCTACTTCACATCTCTTTCTATAGTTTTCAGTAGGTTAAGATATGCATTGTTTTTGTTTCTCTTGCATAGCTGAAGTAAAGTCCCATTTAAATTGTACCACTAGTACTTATATAGTATAATAGTATATTTTTTAAATATATATTAATAACTTGAATTGACTATTTTCATCAATAAAGCCTATTTGATATAGATTAATTAAATGTACAAGGAGTTTTTTCAAAGATGCCGCATGTCCACCTGTATAATTGTGTGTGTCTTCATTGCTACAAGGATGAAATCGGAGCTTTTTACTTTAAAAAACATTATTACTTTTCTGACAGCATGGGAGGTGGCTGGTGAGTACGTCTACACCACCCCCGGGGATCAGGACTCAGACTACCTGACGCTCATGCTCAATGTCCCTGGATACAGGTTGAGTCACGCACGTTTTTAAAAATAATTAAACATCTGTATAGTATAACTGTTGGAAATCTTAAAGGAACTTAACACTTTTTGTTTCCACAGGCTGCCTCCATCCATGACCAAAGACAGTGAAAGGAGTGAACTTTCTCGCATCACATTCGTCTTTGAGACCAGGTGTACAGCGGACTGCAAATTCTACTTCCTGGCGGTGAGGGGAAATGTTCCAACATTTAAAGAAGTGTGCCATCAGTATGAATATACATATAAAGTGATTGTATTTGCCTGCAGGGATACTCCAGGTGGAATAATGAAGTAGTGGAGCAGTGGAAAGGCAGTAACGGCAAACAGTCATACTCCTACCTGATCCAGAGCAACAGCACCACCAGTTTCACCTGGACATTTCAACGAACAGAGGAACTCAACGAGGTGAGACAGTCACACATTTCAATCTGGATCTATTACCTTCCCACAGCTTGACTCCCTCAGCCATGGACATATTTTGTAAAGAAATGGCTAGAAAAAGGTCATCGCTGTCACTAGACTGTTTTTACCGTCCTTTACTCTTGTGTCTCTCGCTGCTTTTTTTGTTTATCTCGTGGTAAAACACTTTGTGGTTTCTGTTTTTAAAGTTGGCTTAGTGTTTCAAATGTAAAGATAAACTGGTGAATTTATTTACAGATTAATGCTGATAAAACGAAGCATCATGTTAGCTTTTGCTGATTTTAGGAGTGTTTTTATACTGACAGTGACTTTGCCCCCAGTTGTTGCACTGAACTCTAGATGGCAGTTGCAAGCTGTGTGTCTAAACAATTCAGAAGGACCTTTGCACATGAGCAACATGAGAACATGTAGAAGTAGAACGCAGGGATGGAGATGTAAGCTTGACAGAACACCACATTGTGTTTCTCTTCACTCAGGAGAGGAAATACAGCTCTGATTCTGCGAAGATCTTCTCCATCCACATCACCAATGTGATCGGGGGTGTGGCCTCTCAGTGCCGCCGCTGTGCGCTGAGCACCGCTGATGCCGGCTCCGCCTGTGTCCCCTGCCCACCCGGACACTACATGGTCAGTGGGACAGGAGTGTGTAAGAGCTGCCCGCCGAACACCTTCATCAGGGCCGATCACCCTGTTGGAGAGGCCGCTTGCATTCAGTGTGGCCCAAACACACAGAGAAACAAGGTAATGGTAACAAATGTATTAGCACTAGAACACTCTAAAGAGAAATTCCTGACTAAATCTATAACTGCATAAATGTAGGAAGGGCTGGACACAGGTCATGTCCTTGGGGATATTTTCTGGGATTTTGGGGGCTTTAGCAACCTGAGATGAGTTTACTTTCTTCAAACATTTACAAATTATACCCAGCGTACCCAAAATAAAATGAAATAGCACAGTTCTAAAAACAACTATCTTCTGTAATAGCAGGTTTTAAAAGGTGTTTACATGCCTCTATATTCCAGTGGATATCTGCTTTTTCCAGTTGGGTTTCCTTCAGTCAGATTATTCCACCCACAGAAAACACAATACTCTCTGTCCTTCAGGCCCACACAGCTTGTCTCAGTGACTGCACACTGGACGTGAAGACAGGAGGGGGCGTTCTGCTGCACTATGACTTCTCTCCGCTGTCCAATGTCACTGCCTTCCACAGCAGCCCCCGCTTCACCAGCAAAGGCCTCCGATATTTCCACAGCTTCAATTTGGCTCTGTGTGGAAAAGAGGTGAGAAGCTTTGATCCTGACGACTTGTAAAAATGTAGTTTGACCTTGCATTTAAACCTGATGTGTCTTTCTCACAGGGCAGAGTGCCGGCTATCTGTGTGGACAATGTGACAGAGAGCGGGAGAGAGGTCAAAGGTTACATCTGTCAATCCACTGTGGTTCCCTCGGAAATCAGGAGTCAGAGCGTGGTGTCCACCCAGCCTTTCATCATTGGTGACTCACTCATCGGTATGAACTCAAGCTTGGGTTTTCTGTAAATCAGAGGATGTGTTTTTAAAGGTCACATGTCATGGCCATTTCCACTGATCATAATTCCATTGTTGAGGTCTACTAGAATAGATTTACATTGTTCAATGTTCCAAACTCACATTGGTTTTGCATACAGCATCTCTGTATAGTATGTGTATTCAGCAGTATTCACTCACTCCACTAAACGGCTCGTTGCAGCTCTTGCCCCCCCCCCCTCCCTGTGAGCCCAGTGTGCTCCGATTGGTCGGGACCAGTCGGGACGTTGTGAATCACTCTGAGCTCCGTGGAGGTGTGATTTCCTTGTTTAGCGATACACAGCCAAACTCACCCTGATCACACACAAAGTCACAGCCGAAGTAAAAACAATAAGTGTGGCTTGATATTGAGTAAGAAAAATGTTGATAAACGCTGTGAGAATGGGTCTGCAGAGAGAATTTCGCCGCGATCCCAACTGTCTGTTATCAGCCTGCAGCCCGGGAGGAGAAATCAGCAGAGCTGCCTGCACTGAGTGTGTGAGGAAGTCCGTGGATTAGTAAATTTGGACCAATCAGCAGGGGCTTAACGTAACGGCTCCGCGGACGTAACGTAACGGCTCCACGGATTGGTCCATTTTGTTCCGGGGACGACATGACATCATGATGTACCCGGAAGAATCAAATGGACAATGACGTATCTCCAACGAGGCGTTTTGGGGAGGTATTTTCTGTTTTAGAGTTTTACTCGCTACAGGGTGTACTTTGAGGGTTTTGACTCTGCACACCGTTTACATGCATAAAAACCTTCATAACACACAAGGGGACGGGTAATAACCGGAAAAGCATGACATGTCACCTTTAAGATTATTTATGCGAAAAGTCTGTAAAACATCCTGATATTAATGAGAAACACACCTTGCCTTTTCTGCTATAGTGTTTGGTCCGCTGGGATGTTTGATATATTGTAACTGAATAATACACTACAAACTATTTTGGTAAATGTGTTTTGTTCTAATGTCATGTTATTCTGAAGGTGTGACCACCAAGACCACAGTGAGCCGAATTTCATCTTCAAAATGGCTGTTTCCCTCTGCGTCCAGTCTACCTGACGTCATCTTCTATTACAAGTAAATAAGATCGCTACTTATTTCTTTCTAAATTTGCATTCATACATTGTTGTTCTTTAAAAATACATATTTTTAATAGGTCTAATAATAATAATTTCAGTTATTTTATTAATGGGCAATTTTTTATTCTGGAAGTTTCATAAGATAAGACAAGATAAGATGGACCTTTCTTTATCCCAGTGGGAACATTCAGGAGTTAAAGCAGCAACAGAGTGAGAATGAAATACAGGACAGACATTTATTTACTAAAAATAAAATAAATGTGAAAATAAAATCACAACAAGGTAAACGTTGATCAGCTGAATGAACATATATACATTTGGGTTTGTATTGTTAAATATATTTACATGTAAGTGTGCAGATGCGAGTACATCACTTGCTAAAGTATGAAATGTTGTACAGAATAAAAAATAAGTGATTTATTACATGGTGGAAGTTCACAGCTTCGTATCTGTGATGATTTCAGGTCCAGTGAGACGACTCAGGCTTGTAAAGAAGGCAGGTCAGCCACCATCAGACTGAGATGCAATCCCACAGTGACGGCTGAAGACCACATCATGCTGCCGAGGTATCTTTCACTGTGACCAAACTCAACTTTTGACCTCACCAACAGTTGTCTGGACATCATTTGATTTGACACATTTAGTGTTTTACAACAGCCATTATTTGGTACTCACCTGTCACATTCTGAGCTCTGAGACTCAGAACTAAGGACAAGGTGACTCTTAGAGATCTTTTCTGTCACAAAAACATTGTAATAATCCTGTTTGTCTGTGTTTTTCTCCACAGTAACTGTTCAGAGGGGACATGTGATGGTTGTTCTTTCAACCTCCTGTGGGAGAGCCAGCATGCATGTCCACTCTGCACCAAGGAACACTACAGAGCGATCGTCAGTGCTTGCACCCAGGGAATACAGGTATAGCTGCACAAGTATAAACATATTGATATATTTACGTCCACAACCTTGATTGATTGATTGATTGACAACCCCAGCAACCCATCAGATGTCCATCACCAACTGCTGATTTCTTGAAAGAAAAGACCATCCGATAAACTAATACCTATTTTTCCATTTCCCATTATTGCTTAATCTATGCAAATTAAAAAATATATATTTATGAATACACTCTGAATCTCCTTAATCCCCATGTCCAGCAACTTTGGACTCGACTTACTGTACCTAACCTGTCCTATTGTTTTTATATCTGTCTTTATATGTCAATTCTATAATGTTTTTGTAGAATTTGTTAGCAGTATTTACTGATTGAAGTTAAATAAACAACCACAACATATGAACCAACAGTCAGTTAGCTTATTTTAGCAAAACGACTGGAAACAGGGCGGGGAAAGCTAGCCTGGCGCTGTCCAACTATAACTTATCCAGCAACTAACACCCAACAAATGTTATTATTCATTGTAGGAAAATACTGGAAAAATTAGGATCTACCTGTGATGTGACCCAGGGAAACCTAACTGTCTCTCTGTGTGTTTCAGAGAACCACCTATGTGTGGCAGCAACCGTTGCAGTGTTACGGCGGAGAGTCACTGCCAGCTCAAAAAGTCAGTGCTTGTGTGTCTCTGGACTTCTGGCTCAAGTTTGGTGTTTCCACGGGAACGATCGCCGCTATGCTGCTCATCTCTATCAGCTGCTATTTCTGGAAGAAGACACGCAAGTGAGACTTCTGAGATTCACATGTCCTTTAGTGCTTGTTAAAGCATTAATATGTTAATGAGTAAATGTGGATTTCTGTTGACAAGATATTATTTCCTGTCAATCTCCGTATGCAGGTTGCAGTTTAAGTATTCAAAGCTGATGATGAGCTCCGGGGGTAAGGAGTGTGAGCTGCCCACTGCAGAGAGCTGTGCAATAATGGAGGGAGATGATGCAGAAGACGACCTCATGGACCTCACCAACAAATCCTTCTTCACTAAAATTAGGTCCTTCTCACGAGAGGTCAGTAACTTCTACATTCACAAATATTGAGACACTAAAAAGGCAACTTCTCATGCTTTGTATATACTTGTTTTTGCAGAGGACTTCAGATGGATTTGACTCTGTGCCACTTAAATCATCTTCACGCTATCTAAGAGACGATGAAGACTCTGATGAGGCTTAATACAGAGGAAGAACAGATACTTCAGGTTGTTAAGGAAGTGTTAAACGTAAGACTTAAGCACCGGAGTACCACAAGGTTCAATACTTGGTCCACTTCTTTTTTCCCTATATATTAATGACCTGCCATCTGTCTGTCCTGATGTGGAAACACAGCTATATGCCGATGACACTGTGATATATGTGCATGCCAACACAAAGCAAAAGGCTGCTGATAAACTGACCTCAGCTTTAGTGCTGATCACTAGCTGGCTACACCGCTCCTGTCTTCAGCTTAATGTCAACAAAACAGTTGGAATGTTTTTCACAAAAAGAAAATGCAACATTGTGTCAAATATAAGCATCTCAGGTGAAAATATTAACATTGTGCCTCAGGTTAAGTACCTTGGAATCATTATTGACTCTAATTTAACATTCAGAACACAAGTCAAAAAAGTGACCCAAAGAGTCAAGTTTAGCCTAGCAAATTTTAATACATAAGAAACACAATGACATTGAATTCTGCCAAATTATACATGAATGCCATGATCATGTCACATCTTACATACTGTCTCACAAGCTGGGGTCAAACTAACAGCTCCACACTGAAGCCACTAGCAACCCTGTACAAGCAAACCCTCAAAGTACTGGACCAGAAACCTAACCGCTCCAATCACTGTACCATCCTCAACAAGCATAACGTCCTGAGTTGGGAAGATTTAATAAAGTATAGGAACATCGTTCTGGTTTACAAAATCCTGCACAATACAGCCCCTCCACCTCTTAGCTCATTGGTTACTCAACGTAACAACACCAGACTGACCACGAGAAGCTCCACACGTGGCGACCTATCAGTCCCATTCAGGAAGAGTACTTTTGGTCAGTCATCATTCTCGGTCACAGCAATACAAAACTGGAACTCTCTACCCACTCAAATCAAAGACATACAGATACATACCACCTTCACAGCTCACTTAAAAACATGGTTCACTGAGAACTACACCTGCACACACTAGTCTGTGTTAAGTATGGCGTGAGTGTTACATGTTGTGTTACATGTTGTGATCATGGATGTTGCCCCTCGTTTCTGTGATGTGATGTGCTATATGTGACATGTACTGTATATAGTAACGTATGTTGTTTATTGTTCTCTTTTATCCTCTTTCCTCCTTTTTATTTTATATATTTTCTTATAACTAATGCTGTTGATATATTGTAATTTTAAGGGTGTCTATTACCATCTGGCCGGCGACAACAGCTGGAAATTAGCCATGTCGGCTAAAGCTGCACCATTTACTGTTTTTGTGACAGTTCATCGATGGGGACTGTCCACGACACTATAAATAAATAAACTAAACTAAACTAAGATAAAATCTTCAACGGACGAAGTCACAGAAAATAATGATGTGCTTTTGAAACCATTTTATTTATTACAAACAACATAGCCTTACTGAAGGAGTTTTAAAGAGCAACACTTTTATTTAGTATTATTTGCCATATGTTCGGTTGCCAAATCTCATATTGCAGTACAAAGTCTCCATATTGGGGATATTCAGTTTCAAAGCCCAATGTTCTATTTTAAAATGACATAAGAACCAAACTGTGGATGATGTGTAAGAGTGTACATTTTACATAACTGTGAGTGTGAATTTATTTTGTTTCTATTTTATAATTTCTTTTATAAGACGAGCCAAGTTGAGTCTTTAAATGTTTTTATGGCAATATGCAAATTAAATTCGTTTTTGATATCATTTTCTGCTAAATCTAAGGTTATGTTTTAATCTTGCTTTAATGTGAAGTGAAGCTATTTCTACAATAAAAACTGCTGTTATTACTTTGTATTTTCAAATGTCTTTCAAGTGCCTGTGAAGGAAGAAAAAAATCTCCCTATATATAACAAGTATTTTCTGTGGTTATTGGTTTAGAAATACAAGAAGTGAATTGTAACACATGCACATGTAATACATGTCACATATCTAATCAAATATTGTGAATCTACTTGTCATAACATTGAAATAAAAAAGGGCAAACAGAAATGCATGATATCAATCAACAATATTTATTTATTTACTTTTAGCATTTTTCTATGAAAGTTGTTTTTTCAAAACCATCCTCCACATCACATTATTATGGTGGAATAAAACTAAGAACAAAATAACTTGAGTATAATGCATTGCACTTTTGTGTTCTTTGACTTAGGCTTCTTATTTACTTATATTAAACATTTCATAGTTATGTACTCCTTTTAAATGTATACGACACCTCAATGTAATAGTTACTTTGCAGATTAGATGCTGCAGATGATCGTATTATGAAATATGAGGTATTGTTGCACCTGAGAGCAGCACGAGTTTCACTTTCTGTCTAGTAAGCGCTGCTGTCCCAAGTTGTTTGCTCAACATCTCGCGAGACTATGTGACGTGTTGCAAGCGGGTTGATATCTCGGGAGCTGTCTGAAAGCAGCAGAGGAACAAACAGCGTGAAGAAGATTTTAAAACGTGCATTCAGCAGACGGTGATTCTGCACAATTTCGCAAGAAGTCTACTTCGTAGCCTTCGATTGTTTCAAGTTATCTAACAACGAGAAACGTCTGCTGTAGCTTTTCTTCTCGTAACTTTGGGGAAGTTTGTCTGCACGGCTCGGAGTGCCCACAGCAGAAAGTCGAGTCGGTGGTCCGCAGTTGTTCTGCAGGAATGTCGCAGAAAGAGAGACCCAAGTTTCACCGAGAGGAGGTCAACAAGACGATATGGGAAGTCCCGGAGCGCTACCAAACCCTGTCCCCGGTGGGCTCTGGCGCATACGGATCCGTGTGGTAAAGCGCTTTATACGATATTTGGTTGAGGTAGTTTTTTGAGTAGCCTGGTCACCTAACTTAACCTCCATTCATTTAGACGAGGCCTGCGCTGCAGATGCTAAAGTTAGGTTAGCTTGTCCTGATTGTTGGCTAGCAAGGTGGAGCCACGATGTGCTACCAACAAGAAAACCTGTTGACCAGTTATTTATCTCTCATTATCCACTTGTTAAACTTGTGTTAAACCTGTGTAACTGCATACATGTTCACACGAAATGCACTGCAGGAACCTGCTTATTAAATAAACAACGTTAAACTGTGGAAAAAGTACGCGAGTCTTTATCTGATCATTGGGCATGTTACAATCACAGAGCACTTATCTAATGATGATCCTTTTCCCAAAGGCTACTCTAATGATGTTTTGGAAAAAGGGATTTGATTTACATTATAGGTTTTTATTCATGTTGAACAGTTTCAAATACTATAGATTTTTGCTCAACACAACACACTATTTTGGTTATTAGTAGTCCTTCAGCAAGTGAAAATACATGGTTTGTTGGAAATGGATGCTCTCCAGTTTTCTATAATTCAGACGTTTGTCAATATGCATTTGACATTCTAAATTATATTTTATGAAGTGAATTGACATGTTGATCGATAATTAAATCAATGTTGTTGTTGCAGCGCTTGTCACTATTGCAGTTGTATGGATTTACCTGTTATAGGCCTACATCTAAACAGATCATTAACACTTTCCTTTCTCTTGCACATTCTAAATGATTCTTATCAAACTATCTATATCATTTCAATATACCTCCCAGTCTTAATGAAAACATCTTGATAACGTTTAAGTCAGATTTAACATGATTTTTGAACAAATAATCACTCGTTTGCAATACAAACTGCATTATATTTACAATAGAGATGGGATTTTGACTCCTTGATTCGGACCACCTTGCTGGTGAGGTGCAATTCCTTAATGCTGCATTGTAGCTTTAGTGTGAGGTTAAGATTGACCCTTTGCATTGGTCTAATGATTAAATAGGTTGTGCTGATACCATCTAGGACACAGTGTTGTCTGCAGTGCACTTGGTTTAGTGTGCAGATGTTTGTTTTGCAAATGGAAGCGGACAGCTGTGCTGTTGCTGGGCAATAAGATAATCTGTTGCTGGTCAGATTACAGTCTGCTCATCCCAAGTGCATTAAACGTGATTGATTTTTTTCTCCAAAACAGTACACTGGCTTATAGTGTCATTGTTTACATGAAGGACTAAATGTACCGTACACTTCTGGTCAGTTTATTTATACCCAGCTTTATACCAGTAGTTATAATAATGTGTTGTGTCAATCAAAAAGTATTTTTTATTGGGAAATGCATATTTGTTTTTTGGATTATGCATATTTATAATTTAGTTGTTGTGGAACATATTATGCATGATGCACGTTTAAAGATCTAACCAAATGTGCAACCACATTTGTATTAGGAGTAAAGATATTTTAGCTTCTCTCCTCTCTCTGGTTTCTGAGTCCCAGCTGCAGGCCCTGCTGGTTAGTTGACTCTAAAGACAGTCAGCCGTTAGAGTGCAGGCATGGCTGCTCCCAATCTGCTGAGAGATGACGTTTTCTGCTGATGTCGCCCTTTTCCACAGCCTTCAGCAGCTCTTACTGCACCTAATTCGTTTTTGAGAGAAAACTCAGTACATTCTGACATAAAACCTTTGAATGTAGGTTAGTGCTGCAGCAACTAGTCTGCTGATCAATGTTTTAGTTTGACAGGTACAACGTCAACCAGGGACACTATTTGATGATCTTATTATTGGAGTCATTTTTCCTCAAAATGGAAGAACATTTTGTTTTCAGCCCTTCACTTCCCCTTATTGCTCTGTTTTATATCACATTAAACTCAATATCTTTGGGGGTTGGAATGACAAAACAAGCTATTTATAATCATCACCTTGTACTTTGAGAAACTGGGATGGTATTGTTTACTGTTTTTTGTTTTGCTTTGGTGTTATTTGCAGTCTCTAATTTAAGTAGTGTTACTGACATTATAACTGCTGTGATTCAAGCTCACATTTTTCTACTTTCTTATGAACAGTTCTGCATATGACATGAAGACTGGTTTTAAGATCGCTGTGAAGAAGCTCTCTCGGCCCTTCCAGTCCATCATCCATGCCAAGAGAACATACAGAGAGCTGCGGTTGCTGAAGCACATGAAACATGAAAATGTGAGTCGTCTTGTTTCTCTTCCCTTTTGTTCTGTGTTCTGGTGAACACTCATAACCAAAAAAAAAAGTGTTTTGAGTTCACTTCCACAACGCCTCACAACATGTTTTTGTTGTTGTTGTGTGGCCTGCTTTTTTGTAATTATGGTTTTAGTTGCTTCCCCTTTGTTCCTTGTGTTGTTAACTCGTCAAGTGTTTTCATTTCTTTGCAGGTGATTGGCCTCCTGGATGTCTTCAGCCCTGCTACTAGTCTAAAAGAATTCACTGATGTGTAAGTTGAATGCTTTTACTTACAATAACATGCATCCTAAGTTCACCTCAGCAACACTTGTACATGATGGCCGGGAAACACCTGGAGCCTGGCCAGCTGACTAAACACACTGGAACATTTCTTGACTGTCCGCTCTGTTAGTTATTCACTCACTGGCTGCTACTAGAGTCATTTCAACACCAGCTTCCTTAACTTCGTTTCCTGCTCTGTGGCTTTGTGAATCATATCTGCTTTTCTGGCAAACAGGTTTTGTGTTTTGTTTATGTAAAGAGTCCTCGGATTGGGGAAGTGGACAGTGGCATTCTCCCCCGCCGTGCGTGGAATGTCTCTTTCTCTTCTATACACACTGAGGGATTTGTATTAAGATCAAGTTGTGACTCCAGATTTAGGTCAACTCCCAACCTAAGAATGTGTCCACTGAATACTTGAAGTTTCTTCCCTGACGATATTTGATTTCATTCTTTACATATTCCTGTATGGACAGTTATTCATCACAACTTGGCCCAATCCATCTATTTTTGAGGAGTTTCCACTTCATGTCTGAGGCCTTGGTCAACAGCATTGGCAGGATTATTTCTTACAGCTCACATGCATGTTATTTTGTGTGGGAGGAAACCCTACCTAATACTGGGAGAATATGTCAACTCCCAGGAACAGAAACAAGGCCTTGCAGACAGTGCTCCCTGATTTCTTTTAATGTTTTTAGCCGAGGGAATGGGCAATGGCTGCTAAACAGAACTGAGGGGCATAGAGTTTAGTCATACATGCTAGGATACGCAGTAACTATTTGGTATGTGAGTACTTCAAAACATTCAAGAAGTTAGTTTACACATGCAAGTCAACTGTATTCACTCGTTAAGTTATTTGTGTCTACAAAATACTGCAAAACTACTTTCACTGCAGAGTTGCGATACTAGTTAATTTGTGGCATTTGCCGTGTTGAATATTGCCTCTGCTCTTTCCACTTTTATGGTTAATGTTTTATTAATTCTTCCTGACCTAAAAGGACGATGGGTAGTAGTACTTCTGCTTGTATAAAAACACTTGTATAAATACCTTTGAGACTCCAGAGGGAGCTGCGCAAAGTCTTACAGATAAATTGTCAGTCAGGTTTGAAGACTACAAGTTTAAAGCGAGGAATCTGTTAGTATGTTGTTAACTAGCTTGCCTGACCTCTAACGCACATTTATCTATGACAACTGTTGGAAGTCAAAATTGCAATATAGTCAGTCAGCCTTAGGCATAAAGCAGAAGGCATAACATAAAGAAATAGGGCGTTTCTGATGCACTTATTTTGAACCTTTTTATGACCTACTGTCCATCATGAGTGCCCAGAATAGCATAATGTTATGAAGGACTGAATGCAACACAACTGTGTGTAACAGGGTTAATGAGAGACAGCTGTCTGGTGTGGAGCTTTTCTTACAGTGTATAGAAGAATAAATGCTGACTCACAGGCTTTCAGGAGAAAATATGGCTCTCTTTATCTGCACATCTGCTGGAACATTGTAAATGTTCTGAATGCATTATGATATCCAGGAAAAATCCCAGAAATGCAGGTGCTGCAAGTATGGTTCCCCTCGGCTCTAAAAATACAGACTGAGTCACAACGCTGTGGCTCCTCCGAGCTCCTGTTTCTACAAGAGAGAGGAAAACAGAGGTCACTATTTTTATCCCCTTTTTTTCCAAGGCGGGTGAACTTTTGAGGGTGTCTGTTCAAGTTCAAGCGTAAGCGGGTGCTATATAAAG